GGATATGTTAGGCTGTGTTCAGTTCGGTTAGGTTAGGTTAGGGTTTCTTGGCTAGGTAAAACTAATGTAAGATTGTTTTAAACACTAATGATACACACAGGAAAAGGCCACAATTGGGGGATTGCTGTGTGTCGTAGGAAATGTGTGGCAAGAAGAAGAAGAGAGAAAAAGAAAAAAAGTAAAAAAAAAGTTTAGCAGCTGATCTGGTTAGATTGGCCCACCCACCTCTGAGTATAATATACCTTTCTCTTCTCCTCTCCAGTGAGTATAGTCCCAAGCGTTTCAGCCTTTCCCAGTAGTTCAGCTAGGTTCAGCTCCCTCATGCCGTTGAGCCTGTACGTGAAGGTCCGCTGCACTGCCTCTAATTTCCGCACCGCACCCGCCTTGAGTGGCGACCAAAGCTGGCAGCAATACTCAAGATTGGGGAGCACGAGGGCTCTGAAGAGTGTAATCATTGGTGCTGCTTCTCTCGTTCGAAATGTCCGCCATATCCACCCCATCCGTTGCCGGCTACACGCGACTATTTCCTCAATGTGGGCATCGAACGTGGCTTCAGTACTCATCAACATCAATCTCGAACTAGTTGCTTCTCCTCAATTTTTGTGCCATCTGATGCCAAGTAGCGATTTGGCATCCCGATCTCTATGCAGACTCTGTATTTCATTACTTCGAACTTGGTGCCGTTGAACTGCATATTCTTCACTATATAGGGCCCAATCGTAGATTGACGATAGATAATCCTGTAATCTCTCGCTGTCTAGGTCATCTGTGATCCTCTCAGCACTCTTGTATCGTCCGCAAATGACGATGTAGATGCGTGGGTGAGTTCCGAGTCTATATCTATTGATATCCGAGTCTATATCATCAAATTGAAGCTGTATCAATTGGTAGCAACTAACAAGGAATAAAGTCATTCAAGGCAAGCGAACAAAAATATGAAAAAGATGAATTACCAAAACAAATAAAACTGTATCAATTTAGGTTAATTTGAAACCAAATGATGATAAGTTATTTACATTTTTATTCAAAAATGCAAAAATTGTCATGAAAATATTTTAAATAATAATAACTCACAAACTTACATCTCATATCCCAACACCTATTACAAATCCAAGGAAGCTTACAACTGAGTTTAATACTTCTGAGAACTCTAATTAAGTTAAACTTTTTCTCCATGATACTAACTTATCTTCAGTATACCGGGCAATCTCTCTTAAATATTAGTGGTTGCAGAGTAGAAACTCCATTTTACTCTCGGTATCCTAACTTAACTGTTTGAGCAGTCAATTTCTAAGAGAAGAGGGATGTTGACGGTTGGCATAGGCTATCGACATAGTGATAAAAACAGAGATTTTCTAGAATGAGTTAATTTTTAATTTATTCTTGTACTCGAGATTTAAGCCAATTTTTAACGCATTTTCTCATTTATGAAAAAAATGCACTATTGTGCTCGCCATGTCCGTCTGTCCGTCCGTCCGTCCGTCTGTCTGTCCGTCCGTCCGTGACTTCATGTTTTCGTCGACGAGAAAATGCGCTCTCTGTCACTCACTGCAGTGAGTACTGAGTTATATTTTTTAATGTATGATAACGCTGGTATTATGCTGCTTTACTGGTCTACTGCATAGTGTCCAATCAAAGACTTTTTGGCGCATTTTCTCATTTATGAAAAAATGCCCTATTATGCTCGTCATGTCCGTCTGTCCGTCCGTGACTTCATGTTTTCGTCGACGAGAAAATGCGCTCTCTGTCACTCACTGCAGTGAGTACTGAGTTATATTTTTTAGACTCTTCCTCAAGTTCATTTTTGATCCCATATATAAGTAGACCAGTAAAAAATCAGGGATACCAGCATTATCATTTACAAAAAATTATTTTAAATCTTGAGGAAGTAAACTCGCTCATGTCCGAGTTTATGAACGCATGTTCTCCCTGCTCCCTCTAATGGCTTATCATCTATTTCTATTCGTCAGAATAACGTCTTTCACAACCAAACTACGTGATATTCTCTAATATCTTAAAATCGCTCTAAGTAATACGTACCTAGAGTTTGTTTAGGGACACCAACATAAGCTTATGCTAAAGCATCACCTTCGACGGCTGCCAATTGCCGCCTACAAGCGTCTGCGTGGGGACCTCATTGAAGTAGACAAGTATACTCACGGTTTATACAAGGTCCCAGAAGGATTACTAGAATTTGAAACGAGAACCAACACCAGGGGCCACGACTCTATACTAAAAAAACTGCGTTGCAACTCATCCACGCCACAACATTTCTTCTCGCTACAAATCACCGACACGTGGAACAGCCTCACCGATTACATCGTTGACGCTCAGAGTATACACGCGTTCAAGAACAGACTAGATAATGCTATGGAAATATATTTTCAAGCTTGAAATGACTAGCACAATATCGAACCCGGTGGAAGTCTAGTAGCTATTTCAAACTATCGCCAGTCTTGAAAAGATCCGGTCAAAGGACATGCTTTTAGATCTGCTGTGAACAAATCACGAAAAGTACAAGAATCGGTGACAGGCCACATCAGGCCTACTCTTCAGCGCCGACATCACTATGTTGTATAGCGGTTTCAGCGTTTATTAGGCCGTAGCCCTGTTGCCGATTCTTCACATTGCAGAACATCCACAACATGGTGCGGTCTTGAACTCGCAACTCATTGCTTCAAATTTTCTTTGCTTGACCGCCCGGCCTCCTTGCCGATTCTGACCAGTAACACAAAGCTGGGATCGACCCCGGACCTTTCTGCTCCAATCTTGGTAATCTGAACTGTCACCACTGGGCCACCCAACCCATCTGTTATATAAATATGTTATGTCACGACCAGAGCTTCCCAAAGCCCGAACGCATGGCTAGACAGCTCCTCTCCTTTCAATACCGCTACCACTGCGAGAGAGCCGCAACCCTATAGTGGTAGTCAGAGTCATAATTATCATGGACGAATTCAGTCCTCCTTCAGCAGAGATACACCTTTTGCGCAGATTTTACATGAATTTTTCCTTAAACTTCCATTCAGGAGAATATTTCGGAGGCTCAGCTTCACACTCTACCATGTCACTCATATTTGTCTTGTAGGAACCTGCCCTGAAGCTATTTCAATGTTGCAGTGTTTGGTTATTCTGGCGATATGTGCAACGATCACTGCCGATCGCCTAAAGCCTGGACTGCATGCCACCGGCAACCCCATAATTTTCCCCTGTAATGTACGACGCGTCGTCCGAGGCCAGGAAGACGGCCAAGCCAGCGACCTCTTCAGGCTCACCAGCCCTACAACAATTCAGATCATTCATTATTTCAATGTTTTGAGAAACTTCTCATGTAATTAATGAAAATTTCACAATTATTGCACGGTTTGAATAGAGGTTAGATATGAGATGGCATTAACAAATTTGGATGTTACCTGTGCATAGGAATGGTTGGAAGAACACCGCTGAAGACTTCATCGTCTGCGTGTAACTAAAAAATACATCAATATTATACATCAATATTATACACAAAACAATTTCTATAAGGATTTTTCATAAGATTGATTACAACAATGGGCCATTATAGTCCTAGACAGTCATCGTTCAAATTAACTCATTCCAAACGTTCGCATCCCCCACCTCCCAAGAAACTTCCTGAGACGCACTCACCACTTCGCCAAAGCGGGTTTTGATGATACCAGGCAAGATACAGTTTGCCCGCACGTTGTCAGGTGCGAGCTGTTGCGCGACCATTTTGCTCATGCTCAGTAAACAGGACTTGCTGACGATGTAGCCGCTCAGTGCCTGTCGATTAGACAAAAAGTCATGCTTTTTTAACTAATGTACGAAACTTTCTAAAAAGCGGCACAAAAAGGGCATCCAATTTGATCATCTCAGTGCAATTTGATATTTTTATTCTCAATTAGCCATATAAATTTCTATGAAAATAGATGTCAATTAAAAGTGTCTTGAACAGTCAAATATAAAACACATTGGGTCCTAGCGGGATTTGGTATGCTTTTGCCCCCAAAACGATCATTGCTCATTATTTTTCCCCCTTTTAATTGTGCACTGATAATTGTATTAGAAATTTTTGTTAATTGCCAAACACGGTGATTAGAAATACAACTGCACCGTTCAGAGTATGGCCAGCAAACGCAAAATAAAGTCTTTGAAATCATTCTAAATGCACCATGACATCTTCGGTGCAAAAATTCTAACAAACTGATAATTTTGACAAGAGATTACAGCCGATAGGGCTGCAAGGGAGCGTTCGGTCGCTATATCTATCTGTATCGCATACTACAGTTCACAGTAGCCCGAAAGGTTGATGTGTCTCCAAACAAAACTCAAGTCCGAACATACGTACACCATAGGGGACGATTGAGCCGAAAGATGCTATGCTCCCAATGTAGATAATGGAACCTTTCTTCTTCTTCTGCATGTGTGGTGCAACTAGCTTTGTCAGCGCCCAATTGCTTTTCACATTTATATCGAAAAGTTTGTCCCACACCGACTCCGAGCACTGCACAGTTAACACAGTTAGCTTTATTTAATTTAAAATTAGTACACTTTTTGACCTTTGTATTGTAATAACTTTTAATTCGAGAATGAGCTCAACTATAAATAAAACGTGTTTAATAAATTTATAGACGTTGAATTTTTTACAAGCTCCTCTTCAACCGTGGAATACTTCATATCTTCTGGTGAGAGGAGTAAATCACATATTAAAAAGAACCATGTGGCTAACGCAGACGAAACCATACTCCTATTAAGTCATATTCAATTAGCTTCACAATTAAAAAGAGACATCAATATTAAAATAGGATGGAAGATAAATAACAACTGAACTGTTTGTTCTGAGATATTTCCTGCCAACAGATTAGCGTGTAAGCAATTTTAGGATCAAAACCATTTATAACGAGAGTATAACAAATTACACTGATAGATCGCGACTGTGCAAAGTCGTGTCGAATGCTACTTTCAAGATTTGACTGAAAGCAATAATTGCCAAAAATCTAAGATTTAGCAATAAATGAAAAGGAAAGTAATTGAGAATTTAGAAAGCATTTTATAGTTATCTTAGTATACAATCAGTGATCCTACAGAGGAAATTTACGTCGCATTGATAGATAAAGCAAAATTTCTTGAAGTGACCCATAAGTTCTTGCTGCGCCGTATATAAATGTTTGCATACGATGATAGTAGTGGCCATCAATACGGATTTCAAGCAATAACCGCCCTACTTGCCGTGTTATTGGGCACTGAATAGGTGCTACTGAAAATTGAGGGCCCAGTTATTCTTTATTCAAAACCAGCGGCATTATAATTTGTGGCGGTTAGATGGAAAAGGCGTAAAGCGCATGATTGGGTTGGTTGTGGGTGTGTGGAGTTTGCTTGGGGGGTTGGGGTAAGAAACCCGTTGGGCTTTGGAAAATTTACATGGAGGGATGATGGGAGGGAGTTGGTTATTTTTAACACTATTCACATTTTTTGAGCACAGATAAACAACTATAAAAATGATGCAAGCATCCATAAATTTGTGCTAGCGGACACTATTCTGGAGTCACTAACGTATCCTGCATATAGTAAACGTCAGTGACTCACTCTCCAGGCTTCCTCTCTAGGTGGTCCATAACTACTACCGCTCTGCATCCCTTTCTCACGACATTCCAGCAGCCATGATCATCTTGTGATATTATCACCAGGGTTGCCAGACGGTCTTTTTTTCCGGACAAATTTCGCGATTTAGTTTTCAATCGCGTTAGCTGGCTAAAATTTAGGATAGGGCATTTCCTAATTAAAAGTAATAATTGGAATTTTTACACCGTAACCTACAAATATACTAGTATATAATGAGTTATAGGCCTTTTTTGGTCTTTTTTGTTCGTGGACTTGGCCGTTTTTTGGACCATTTAGCCACCCTGATTATCACTACCGTACCAAAAGTGTAAGTGTTTGAAAAATGCGAAAATTATTCGAAAATGAACGGAAATTATTATTAATATAAGTTTAAAACTATATGTCAGCTTAATTAATTACGTCGAGCAGCCAGCCTGTGGCCGGGTTCACGCCAGCATTGGTCAATAAGATGTCGACTGTACCCCACTTCGCAACAACCTGCGGATGGAGAAGAAAACAAGTAAAATATTTTTTGGTAATTCCAACGAGTGGAAAAGTGAAGGCTTGCTAGATTTTATAAATAGGCACAGAAATAAAATGATGGGAATTTCTGCGTTTTTAATTTGAGTGTTCAAAGTTTTGTTGACACATCTTTATTGTGCTGTGCATGAGGGTACAAAAAATCTATTGCTATAGGCTTAGATTTAGTGCCGTGTTTTTTGATCAAGTGTCGATTTAAAAGAGAACAGACGATTCCCAATTTTGTCCTTAACAGAAAAGTTTCCTATTGTCTCAAGAAGTTTACATTGAGAAATTGTCTAATCAGTTTGTATTATCAGGTTGCAAGCTTCATTGACGATGAAACACAAAAGCTGGTCTCAAGATAAGATAAATCTCTTATAATGTAAATGAGAATTATGTGGGAAAGTAGAGTAATGTATGGTCTGTTTAGTGAATTATTTTTTTAATTACTCATTTTAGGTCAAAACTGTGCTTACTGGAAAAACACGACTCGTACTCTTCATAATTATAAATTCAATATTTATTATAAAATCGGTGGATAAACTGAAAGCGATGGTTGTTTTAGGACCGATTTAGAAACGAAGTCAATTTATAGGTAATAACAAAATTATGGTGACGATATTGTACAAATAAACATATTAAGTCCCATTTTAGAAAAAAATATTCTCGTACCAAATTTGGCACATGCTCCGACTTCAACAGAGCGAAGGATATATTAATGAACTTATCAATTCTAACTGTATTCGAATGTACATTGTAGTGTGCATGTACAAAATTGTGTTTTAGTATATTCTCTGTAGTTGTACAAGTGTGCATTCATCCCTTCAGTGAGGCTGCACAATGTCGGAGACCATAACCGATTCATTCTGATGAAAAATGGTATCAAGATTTTATTTAATTTCTTGCTGATTTTTTACTGGTTTGGTGAATATCTCATTGACAATTTTAGGAAAGATTTTTCAACATTTGCATTCTACCTCTTGCATATGGTCTTTAAGTCACATTATTACTCAATGTTACTTAGTGTCTTGAGTTTTCTTGCATACTCATTGTACTCAGGTGGTTACTGCAACAGGAAGTTTAAGAGGCGACGTATGTTGAAAATAACCTATTCCTAGCTGCAACCTAGGACACAATTATTTTAAGTTGAGGAAAAGTGTAAATTTATTAGATTTTTGTCAAATTCGGCCATTGATGTCGCATGTACTTTAATGAATTCAATACGTGCCATGATGCCATCCAGAGGCCGCAAGAATACGAAACGAGACACTCGTAGCTGTCTGTCATAGGATCAGAAAGAAAGAACCTAAGGTGGACAGAGTGCGGCTGATTTTTCACATATTGGCCGAGTCCTGGGCTGAACCCGCGTTAAAATTTTGTTCAGGTGAGTATAGGTAATGAGAGTCTTTGAGGCATTTTTTATGATCGATATAAATATTTTTTTTGTATGCGCTCCCAAGACTGAGGAAATATTATCTGGATGTTCTGCTCTCATTGTTGCTATAGGAGCTGAATTAGCGTAAGCAGTGGGCAGACATGCTCAACAATTACTCGCATAAAAAATTGTTTTATCACCAATAAGGATTATAAGGTCTAAGGGGCGTCAGAAAACGCCCCTGAGGTTGTCTTAGTTCGCGCACAAATATTCAAACTTATTATCAATTCAAAAATTTGAACAGTATGCCAACTTGATTGATCAACTTGTGCCTGTTCTTGGGTTTGCCGACATTGCACTGCACGCCAATGATAATCATTTAAACAATAGTAAACAGTTCACTAACCTGATCGATCAAGTTGTGCCTGTCCTCGGGTTTGCCGACATTGCACTGCACGCCAAGCACGTCCTTCAAGCCGAGGTCGTGCATCTCCTGCACGGCGCGCTCCACGTTGTGGCTCCGCCGGCTGCTTACCACCACGCGCGCGCCCTCCTGGCCCTTGCGCTTCGCGATCGCAAGGCCAATCCTATGTATTAAACATGATTTGTGTACGTGGATAACGAATTATAATTTTCCAAATAAATAATAATTTCACAAGCTCAATCGTGAACTGAACTTCGGAGAGATGGCTGGCGAGTTTTTGTTGCGTATCAATGCTACTAGAGATGAGTTATTCCAGCTGATCTCAAACCCGTCCACAGATCGGCTTAGTAATTACTAATTAAAATAAAAATGCTAGCAGAAAGCTTTATGCACATCGAGAAATAATGTTTTTGATTTCTAATTAGTTTATTATGCTAGCATGGCTAGTTTTAGGTAAACATCTGTATGACATAGGAAAATGTTTGAGTCAATGTCAATTAGGTTCTTAACGCCAGGAATAAATGATGTATATTAGAGGCTTCAAAAAGTACAACGTAGAGACGATGCAGAATAAGACAAAAACAAACTAAATTTTTAATGATCTACCGGAGTATGGGAAATGTGAGTGATTTTGAAACTACGAAATCAATGGAGTATAATAATGATACTGACTGTTTAAAATTACACTGACGGTTGAACTAAAGAAACGTTCCGGTGACAAGAAATATAAAAAAAATTCTGCACATTGAGGTCGGCATCAACCCAATTAAGTTATGGTCGTAAAAAATACAATGAAGGACTTTCTCGTGAATCATGAGTTAATCATTCAAATAGATATCCTTATATTAATGTTTTGTTAAAATAAATTACTAATCAATTTTTAGGTTGATTGTGGAGAACATTATTTACCCGTCCGTAGAGCCCGTAATGACGGCCACTTGACCGCTGAGTTTGTTGCTTGCGTGCGACATTTGCCTGCACTGGCGTGCGGAGGCGAGGGCTGATCTGCTTGAAGCAAACATCTTTGTGGTGTGTAAAGAGCTTTAGAATCTGTCAAATATCTCTAAAATGTATCTGCAATGGAGTAATCGAACGAAATTACTATTAAAATAATAATGCACATTTTAAAAATTACTTTTTAAAGACAACACTTCTAAAGAATCCAGTGTCTCCAATGTTACAGATTCTGTACCATGAATTTCTCAATTTGTTTTCGAATATTAAAAAATTAATTTTTCAATTATTTAATATATATATATTTTTTTTAAAAATTATTTATTCCGTCAATTGATTCATGCATTGCCTCCGATTTCACACAAAAATTTCCGATCAATTGGACAGGTAAAAGTGTGTCCTATATCAGTTATAAGATTTATAGCTGACAAAATTATTTTTTCATTTTTTTAATATTGAACTTTTTTTATTTTTAAAATAATTTATTTTGTCATTTGATTTATGCATTGTCTCCAACTTTACGCAAGTGTGCAAAATTTCAGATTGATAGGATAAGTAGAAGTTTGTTAAATTTCGATTATAAGATTTGTAGCAGATAGACAGACAAACAAGAAGTGAAGTTAAAGAGAAGTGTTGTAATTACGAATGGATTGTGGAGTTCCGAGTTTTCAAATAGGTCTCGTCATTAAAGTACATGCTGGGGAAGAAAGAAAAAAGCTGAAATGATCAAAATAAATGCTTTAGCTTGTGGATCGTAGCAAGTCGCAATATTACCATACCATATTCTAATAAATTATAGGTGCTTCGACTTGCAGCACCTCAAATCATGAAATAACTTACAACCTTTGATAATATTCCAAACTCATTACTCAGAAGAACATAGGAAAAATTAAACCCATAATTTATAAGCCAAGAAAACGCAAGGTAAATTCTCTACATTCTCTTGAGACACCAGCTCCATAATTGGTTCAAAAATTAAAGTATATGAGTGCAATCAACTATAAAATCTGAAACACGAAAGATATGGCGAATTTAATTTACGTTTTCTTTGCATTAATATTCTTGGTGATCATGCGAATTAAACTGACAAATGATATAAGTAATTATGTATGAAAAAGTATGTTCTGAGAGCAGTACCATGGCACAGCGCTAGTCGATGCTGGTCGACTAACCAGTGGACTATCGTTCGACCATTTAGTACCTATATAGTAGATGGCCTCGGCATGGCTGGCGACAATGCTTCCAGGCAAACGAACGTTGATTGCTCTTATCTTGAACTCGTTCAACGTCTACTCTCTCCCAAGTCACCTAATAGTGCTATTTTCAAATTTAGTCGGAAGATAAATGCGGTGTTAATGTAAACGACGACGATTGTTTTTAACATAGATAAGAGCTTTTACGAAAACACCCGTGAAACATCTCTTCTCATAAAGATAAGAAACTTCACCAAACTATTTGAATATTTTTTATAATAAGACTACTCTATCAATTAAAAAAAAGCTCAAACATAATGAGTCTTATTTATAGACTTTTATCTGCAACTCACGAACAAGTGGTCCTATCACACGTTTCGGTTTTGCCTTAAAACATATAATAATTCGAACGTTAAATAATTATATGGTAGCGCAGCTTTACAAAGCAGCTGACACTCGAGAGCAGCATGACTTGCCACAAGATTACGAGTCACGATGACCATTCAGGCCCTTGACGTACTTTGATAACGTAATAATTCAGGCAAGTTCGATTAAAGCACAGTATTTTCAATTCATCTGACGTGCTTTGAACGATTCTTGAAACCCGCCCTTATTAAGAAGACTAGAATGAATATAATGTTGATTTGAACATGCTTCATTCAAAATTTGAGGATGCTATTCATGTTCAATTATGAACATTTTTTTTAATTTTCATTGTATATGAGAAAAACAAATCATGTCTGTGCGCATTCTTTCTCTATTACATAAACATTAAATATTTCTTTTGCCAACACATAATCATTTACATTCATTCTCCTGAAGCTTTGAATACACAAAATTTATAAATTTTATTCGCTTCAAATTTTATTTACATCATATGAAGCCTATAAATATAGGTGTTTACAGCCACCTCTTTAATTGTCCAAATGTCCACAGCCACCGCTCAGCGTGCTCATCACTAATCAAGTTATGCGTGCTCATAAAATCATGACACCAGCTCACCGCCCAAAGAAAAATGCCTGAGCGGGATTAACCTAAATCTCATTGGCTGCGGGATGGTGGAGATGTGGGGCAAGTGTGCAGGTATGGCTTGTGAGTCGTGGCAGCGTTAGTAGGTCAAGCCAGAATGGGCCAGGCCGGATCCTGTCTGGTCGGATGCAGAACTACTTCTCAGCGAGCAGGCTAAAATATTTGCTGGAAACCCTATTATTTATTGGCCACTATTATCTTTGTGTGTTTTCTGGTCGGAATTATTGTTCCAGCGTATCATGTAGCTTCCAGATCACTTGGAAAAAATATAGCATGTAGTATGTAGCATGTAGTATTTATTATTACAATGTAGTAATAAACGGTGCACTCGACAAGTTGTTTAGGTACTGCTCGAAAACGGATATGCTATCTTATATCGCATCAGTACCTATTGAATTAACGTCATGGAACACTGTTGTTCGATGAACAACTGCCGCGGTGGAGACCACATCCGCTGTAGAGCGGAAAAACGTCGATATATGATCACCGCACTCAGTAGCGACCACAGTACCAGTTTGGGGGTCTGACGGACGGACAGACGGACAGACAGACAGACGGACATGGCGAGCACAATAGTGCATTTTTTCCATAAATGAGAAAATGCGCTAAAAAGTGACATAAACATAGTAGAATCAGCGCAATGCATAATTTGAATAGATAAAATGAAAGGAATAATGTCCATTCGATAGTAAAATTTAGTCGTCAGTGCCGCGGGTAATGATTTTGTCTGGATAAGTCATATTATTGATTAAATTTAGCCTAAAATTTTATTCTCTGACGACAAGCTCTGAGTCTTAATGTAGTTATTGCATGAGGAGGCTGGGCGTTGGCTCCAGAGCTTATTGGAGAGTTACATTTGTGTGCCACGGAAACGTCCTCACGAACTTGAGACAAGGATATTTATCATTTTACAGACTAACTTTTTCTTTATCGATTTGCTCAATACACTTTTACAAGATCTACAATTATCTTAGAAAATAGCAAATATTTGCAATGATTATTTATGATTGGCATTTTGATTAGGCTTCTACATGAGAGTTACCATTTTTATGAATTTATAAACATTTTAAAAGTGAGTGCGCAGGCGAATCGCTGCTGAAACTTCGCGTGGGAGTTCGCTGAAGTGTCGATTCGGGATAGTTCAACCATGCATTACCGTCTGTCTTGTCCACAGCCACTTACGAAGTTACGGCACGCGGCTGGCTCCACCTAAACACCTTTTGTGTGGATGTAATACTCCGTGTGGAGGCAGTACCTAAATAACTATGAAACAATCTTACAGTTTTCAGGAGTTATTTTCACTTATCAATATTTCGTGTTAAATCATGTTCAAGTGTATCACACACTTATTTTTACCACAATTTCTGGATTCAATGCTTCCTAGGTATATGACCTAGGTATTATAACTAGAAAATGAACGTTGTCACCTTCTAAACGTCGTTGATAAATTAAAATTACTTCCTTGAACCTGAATTTTAATCTACCAACGTCATCTGAAGAATATTGTTCGATCCTGGAAATTTAAATCAATTAATTCTCTGGTCATTAAACCACATATATAATATAAAACGCATGAAATGAAATTTGCTACATATGTAACTAAAGAAAACAATTTCAATAGAACTATTAATATCTATTCAATCTTGCGATGAATGTTATGGTATATCCTTGAAATTCTGATTCAGTTGCTCAGGAGTCGATAGGCGGTATTACGGTAATCGTAGTAAACCCTAACTTACGTTTGTACGATGTACGGTTGTATATATACCTACTCGGGCTATATGGACTAGTTTTCACCTGGGGCCGTATTATCAAAACTTTGTAAGTACGCAAAATCGACTTACGAGTGGCGTTGCTATGACAACGTAATACTAGAGGTGGTATTATATAAANGCGTACGAAAGTTTTGATAATGCCAAAATTAGGGTGTATTTACGTACCACAGAACTTTTTTGTCGTAAGTACAAAAAGTTACGAAGCTTTTATAATCCGGCCCCAGTGCTCCTATAAGAATAACTATATATACCTACTATACGTCAGCGTTGCCAGATGGTATATTTCTATACCAAGTTTCACAAATCTGGTATTTTAGAAGGTGTCTGGTATGAATATTTTAGATCTGGTATATTGGTATATTTACCTAAATCTGGTATTTTCTGGCTTATTGCAAATTTGCTGCATTAAGTTCCACCCAGGAAGTTAGAAGTTTATCCAGCGTAGGTGTGGATTATATAGATTACCTTCAGAGCGGCGCGACTAGAGGTTTCGCGCCATTTTTTGACCCGCAAGTTTACCGCATGTTGAAATAACCCCAATCTAATTGTTAACATTTAACAAAAGTGCTTAGTATAATATAAGTACGAGGGTGATGATCCTTCATTGATTACTGGGGCCGGATTATAAAAGCTTCGTAACTTTTTGTACTTACGACAAAAAAGTTCTGTGGTACGTAAATACACCCTAATTTTGGCATTATCATCATCGTTGAAGCTCCGAGTATGAACATCTTCAAAAACAGACTAGACGAAGCTATGCAGGAGCATATGTTCAGTCTTAAAATGCCTAGCAAATTACGGCGCAGGCAATAAGTCCAGCAGCTATCTCAATCAATCGTCAGTTATGGAAAGATCGGGTTCCAAAGGCCGGATCCCTTGTGAATCAAGTCACGAAAAGTTCAAGAATCGGCAACAGGCCATGGGCCTATGTCTTCAACGCCGACACTTCTATTCTATTCTATTCTATCTGCTATCACAGTTTACGGAATTAAGCCTGCAGGATAACAACAACAGCTCATGATAATTCGATTAGTGAACAATAAATGTGGAACAGTGGATGGAAATCATGGAATAGGAGTCATTACAAATAAATAATGAACTGTTAAGTGTTAATTGAATTTAAAAATAG